CTGGATTTACTGCATATTTATGTAGAGAGAGTAGCACAGATAATATGCATCTGTTTCACGCATTAAAGCAGAAACCTAGAAACTATAATTTTTCTAAAATTTATTGGGTTTTTAATTTGAATTTGCTCAACTTCTGCATCATACAGTCCAGAACATACCAGCCACAATGTTTACAGGTGACTAATACATGCAGTATCTCCTCCTATGGATACCTAATCTGATTTTACTCACCTAAACCAGGGAGGATTTAAAAATAAACAAAACCAAATAGACTCAGGATAAGCCTTCTATTTCAAAGCTTTACATATGCAATAGAACTTGAACAAACTCATTTACCTTTGTATAGATATAGTCTTAATATAGAATAGTATCAGTTAGACATAGGAGTTGGCATCTCTTTGCAAAATTGACCTCTTGTTTACAATTTTATACTAATCACCTTACTGATCTTTCAGTATTGAATTTATTTGCTTCTGCAGTGCCCTACTCTCTACTGTCTGAATATTAAATGTGTTTGTTTTCCCAGAGGGCTAGAGAACATTGGACAAAAGGGTTCAGCAGGAGAGAGTGAAATAAAAAGAGGTTGTGAGTCTTTAACCTTGAGCCTGAAATGAATGTGAACCAAACTTAAGATACTTGGCTTATATGAAGCCAGGTAAACATTCGAGTATAAGCCCACACACTACCAACCATAATACAATTGTTAATGCTTAACAGGCCTTGTGTATTTTGCCTAGATTGTTGTACTTACGAGTGAGATTCTGAACATCCTTTTCTTCTGATGGGAAAAAATCGTAGTATCTAAAATCCTATTTCTTTTATTTTTCTTGCCTGATGCAGTATCATAAATCTAACTTTCAAGGTGGGATGGAACTGAAGAGTTTTTTCTGTTACAGCTACAGAGAAGAAAGAAGTGGAAACTTATAGCAATGTCAAAAATGTCCTGAAGTGTTGTCCCCACAGTCTTTTGTTTAAAAGCAGTTCATTTTTTTCTGTTGTCTCCATTACTGTGAGAAAAGGGAGCTGTATCACACTGTTTGTCTTCCCTTGGCATTGTCAGTATCATAAAGAAATATCATTACATGAACTCGACATAGTTCATAATAAACCAACACTTTCTAGGTTCTATCCATCATGGGTATGTCCCTGCTTTTACATGCTGTACAACCATAACAACATTATACAATGTTCATCTGCTTTAATTTATCTTCAAAAAAGGAATGTGGGCTTTGTGTCAGCAGAGCCCCTAAAAATTTTTACACTAGATATTACTTCAAATCTTGAACTTAAGCATGTATTAAAAGAATTTGTTGCTGTTGGGCCATGTAACTCGGAGTAAATAATATTTTTTCAGTTCTTAGGTAAAATATGACAGTATTATTATACAGAAATTGAAACACCACCTTTGTATCCAACAAGCCCTCTATCTTTGTTTCCACTAACATAATGAAAAAAACAGGGTTTGTTCCTATAATTTGATACATTGTGGGACAGACCATGAACAAAATTTTGAATTATACTGTAATGCAGACATTCTGTCACTGAATGAGGTGTGACACTTAAAAAACAAACAAAAAAAAATCCCAAACCAAAACAAAAGCTTTCTTCTAGATACAAAGCTAAATATGCAAAGTATAAAGTTGGGGAGAGAGTTTCTCCTTAAGCGAACAATTATCGGAAAACATACATACATCTCTGAAACTGTAGAAATTTTAAGAAAAGGTAGTAGTTTTCTACAGCTCCTTAGTGAAGAAAACGTAGAAGAAAGCTAATTTTATGTGTTCTCAGCTTTAGGAATTTGCCCAAGTTTGGCACTTACGTTACCATTGCATTCAGAAGATAAACTACTTTAGGTATCAGCAGATATGAACTAGTTCTGAGCTGGTATTTCCAGTAAAAATCATCATGAACAAGTAGAAGCTATTCTGGTATCATCTAAATGTTCCTGCAAGACTTGAACAGTCCATGCCCAAACTTTTTCACAGATCTTCACACAAAGTGATGTGACTGCTGGCTGATTGCACATTCTGCAATTGTATCTTCAGATTGTTGTGTAAACACATCTAAGCAACAGATGTTAGCGTAGCGTTTTCTTTCAGTCAATGGTTAGTCCCAGCAGCCGCGGCGAAGTACAAATTCAGGTCATGGCAGGCAGGCTTTCGTAACTGGCTTTCAAATACAACCCAAATCTATAGCTTTCCCTCAGCTGCGTAAGATGTCAGTGAGCCAGCTAGAGTGACTAAAATCTTGGTATTAAATGCAAATTAGATGCCAAATTTAGGCATTAAATGCAATACAGATGCTTTCCCTATTATGGAACTTGGAACCTCATAAAGTTAAATCAGTTCCTCCTTTGCTAACACATAGAGTTTGTGCGACTTGAAGAAAAGCTTTACTTAATTTGGATTCTGCTGGATCAAGCATAATATCAAATTGCAAATCTTTTTATTTAAGTAAAACTTTACCTTTATTAAAAAGAATCCAGCTGGCAAATAGAACCTAGAAGTGGCTGTATTCGAGAATGAAATTCTTTAGTTGATAAGATATAGCAAACAGCTGCAACTAAATGAGATGACTGCTATTTTTATTTAGATAGCAGAATTAATAGGTAGCTTTGCAGAAAAAGTCACCCTATCAGCCCATAGGGTACAGTAAGCATACAATGAAAAGTTTCAGTTTCCTGATTTAAAATAGGACAATATGGTAACCTGTTTCTAAGATTGCCTTGAAAAAGCATAGTGTTTTTTTCATTGTTTAGACTAATTAGTTTGTACTTTAAAACACAAGATAGAAAGGCACAGATAATGAGGGAGTTAGTATGTCACCTCTGCTCCATGAGTTCAAATCCTACCTGTAGTAATGCAAATGAAATCACTTATCCCAGTCTGTTCACAGTACAGAACCTTCACATAGCACAGCAAAACTCAAAGAGATTCACCTCTCCTAAAACCCTGGTTTATAGTTCTAGGTGCTCTGTCAGAGGGGTGTTAGCTACCTTATATGATTGTAGTGTGTAAAATTCTTATCTTTCTTTTGTCTTGCACCTCTGCCAACCTCCTAAAATCTCCCAAGAACCAGACAAGCCGTTCCGTACCACTCCAATCCTCTTTATTTTGAGCATAAGCAGTCACGTGAACTACTTTTTGTACTGTGCCTGCTGTTACCAAATGTATGTATAAAGAAAAGGGAGAGTATTTGGACTGGCCAGATGCCATTTATCTGAAGATGGCGTGACCTGCTATTGCGATTTTGGAAAGATGATGAATATCCAAATTTAGGGAACATAAACAAGGACAAAGGTCAAGGAGATCAGAATGCAAGTCAGCCTCTTTCTCAGATGTGCTGAAATTCTGTACAACTTGGACAACTCCAAGCACAGAATCAGTTAGATCCCACAGCTGTAACACTATGACCCCATGCCATGACTAAAATGTGGTCTGCCAATTTAAAAGGAATTAAAGCTTTACAAATCAATGCTGCATTAGGCCAACCAATAACCTGCTAGCATGTAAGTCATGTAAAAAGATACACATGCCAACCACCAAACCATTTCAGATGTGTGTGGAGAAGCTTTCACAATGCCTGCTTGCACCTTTTCTGCTGCTGCTTGTGTTTTGGTCTCCCCTCAAAGAAACGCTAAAAATTCGCTCATGGACTACATGGAAGTAGAAGGGTAGAACTCATACTTAGTCATAAAACATTTGCCAACAGATCACGTTTTGCCATTCTGTTTTTTCCTCTCTGCCCCCCATCCTCTTCCAAAAAGTTATGTTTTTTTCAGCAGTATACCAGCACAAACCTTCTTTTCAGAGCTGATAGGTCACTGGGATATAGACAGCATCGCTCCCTTTGCCCACCCAGAGTGTCCCCACTGTGCAATGCTCCTCACTCTGCTCCTCCCATTTCCTATGGGGAAAGCAATTTGCACTGTCCCTGACATTATAATGGGCTGAATCTGGTAGTTTATTTTCACCCGTGTTCTTACTGTCAGGTAGTTAATGGCATTAGATCGACCCTGGCATAAGTCAGCTGACAAAGTTTAAAGACTGCATATATGGCATAAATTGTGTCGCTTTCAGCATTTAGCTTTACAGTTTTACAACTGAGACACAGAAAATGAAAAAGATTGCTGTTTAAAAATGTAATTCAATTCAACCCAACAATCAATACATTATTTTATTACATGTTTTTTATATATTAAAAAGATCAATGGCTAGAACAGTGGGTCTATACTCGAGTGTTTACCTCACATATGCATGAAGGAAAAATAAAAGTTGGTTCAAGAATACTATGTTCACATTATCCAGGCTTCCAAGTGTAGTTGTTGTGTGCAAGTTATCTCTGTTCACGTGGTAACTGTGATTTTTTTTTTTTTTTTTTTTTTTTTTCCCCTGTGGTAGCATGATTATGCTTAGTACTTTGTCTGCTTGGCTTTTTGTGCTCTTGGCTGCATTCATTTAGATTTTGCTTTAAAACATTGATATTACTTATAATTTTTACACTTGGCTCCTGTGTGTGTGTCTCATACGTACCCATCCAACTGTGTCCGTGTTCTGTGCTTTTCTGTTTGTGAAGTGTGATATGTTATGTGTAATGGTTTTTTAACAAAACAAAAAAGACTTTTTTAATTAAAAAAGCCTTCCTACTTACTCACTGCAAAACTATCAACATGCATGGTTTTACATTTGCATTACAATTAACATGGCTTGTCTTTTACTAGGGATGTACCACACGAGTGGATGTTCGCTTTCTTTAACCAGTACTTCCCATCAGTTCTTTGATGGCTTTAAACTTTATTTATTTTAATATTGCAGTTGATACAGATATTCAAAATGCACATAACTGAGCCACTCGTTTATGCATATAACATCCAGAGACTATGGACTTCAGCTGCCTGCACTGCCCTAACCATATGCTACATTTTTCACAAAGTATTCTCTAACACAGTGTTGCCCTTTGACGGCACTGCCCCTGACACCTCTTTCCTTTTTTCCCCCCAGATCCGCGTCGTGAAGGCATTCCGTAGCTCTCTCTATGAAGGTTTAGAAAAACCAGAATCTAGAACCTCTATTCACAACTTTATGACTCATCCTGAATTTAGGATAGAAGATTCCCAGCCCCACATCCCACTCATTGATGACACAGACCTAGAAGAAGATCCTGCTCTCAAGAAAAACTCGAGTCCACCGTCTTCGCTGAACAAGAACAACAGTGCTATCGACAGTGGAATAAATCTTACAACTGATACAAGTAAATCAGCTACCTCTTCTAGTCCAGGAAGCCCAATACATAGCCTGGAGACATCACTTTAGCTGAAAAGGTCACTGCAAAAAAAATAAATAAATAAAATAAGAAACCCCACAGCAACCGAAATATATAAATATATATATTAAAAACATTGCTGGCTGAAAAGCTGTTTGAACTCTTATTCACTCTGAGACAAGTGAATGAATCGTTTATCACAATGGTTTTGGGGAAAGAATGAATGGCTGATTTACATACTCCCCCCTTTGTTCCCTTTCAGAAAAACAAACAAAAAAAAAATCCTGCATGAATGTACTGTACACTTCTGGCCCTTCTTTCTCTCTTTTTGTTTCTTTTTATTTCCTTTTTTTTTTTTTCCTCCTTAAGCAGGAACTGCAGAGGACTTCTTTCTGAGGCTATTTATCCAATTCACTGGTCTGTGAGTTTTTTGAAATGCTTGTGTGGCATGGACTCAATTGTATAGATTAATTTAAATAACTTTTTTGAAGTTGCAAAGCTTAACTTGCACAGTAGATTTGCACCAGTTGGACAGAGGAACTTAAACATTTATGAGACTATATATAGAGATATATACATATAAGTATATACATAATTAATTATATATATGTATATATCTATCTATATATATATAGTTATATATATATAAAGTTTCTTTGTTGGCATGTTGCCTTGTTTCTGCTCAAATTGCTCTGACTATTTTAACTTATTTATGTCCTAAAAAAAGAATGTAATTTGTTTACAAACCTGTAGATAATATCCTTAACTATTTGTAGGGTTAAGAAAGCACCTCCTGCCGAAGTAGTATAAAAATGGCTCAGCTCAGCTCATTGAAAACGTCTGTAATATCGCACCCTGGATATTTTATTACAACCGTGTTCTGATTTCTGCCTGATTTTTTTTTTTTTTTTTTTTTTTTTTTTGTTAAATAATGTAGATACTGCTAGTAAGTAACAAAAGAAGCCAAAATATAACACATTGGATGTAGCATTGTGATCCTATATACAGGGAGGTAAAACAGGCTTCCTTTGTTTCAAATAAAAATCAAAACGATCAGGTTCTCTCTTTTTTTTTTTTCTCTCTCTGATAATCTGCTTGAACTTGTTTTGGTGCAACATACAATAACGGAGGCTATTTCATTCTTTAAACATATGGCAATGGCTTCCAAAAATATTTTTAGAGACATATTATATGAAACTGAGTTGAGTTTATAAATATAATTTAAAATAAGTTATATTTGGTTTGTCTATATGGAGATAAAGCTAATGTTAAAATATTGTGATATATTGTGTTAATCCTTTTCAGTTAGTAATTTAGGCATTTATTTCCTTATTACTTGCAAAGTATGGGCTGTTGGCATTTTGGATGAAAATCACTGTAGGTTGTTGCTTTGATTTTTTTTTTTTAATGAAAAATATAATTTCTGCACTATTAGGTCTGAATGAAACATTATTGTATACTGAAATGTGCTTTGTGTGATTTTTTTTTTTTTTAACCAAGCTTGTCTTCCTGTAGTCACAAGGTATACTGTAACACAGTAATACATTATTTTACCTTGAGCTTTCTACAAAGAAAGCTATTTTGAAAACCTGCAGTATAGAGGGTGAAAAATATTTTTCAAGATGGTAACAGCCCTGATAACTTAAAATTTATGAGCTTATATAATTGCTTTGTCAACCACTTGAATGCTAAGCACTTTGTGGATCACAGATTTTTCATAAATAATTTTTGTATTTAATATAAAGTTTGCTTGGAGACTTTTCAGCATATGATCTTTTCCATAATTGTACAGTGCAAAAGACATTTTGAATTACACAATTGATTATGCCAGATGTGTTGAAAAACACTCTCAAACTAGCTTGATAAATTGATTTGTTAAGGTGTTACTGGTTGTCTTAAAGTTGGCTCATAAAGTGGTGCATCTCTGCAGTCACGAGAACTAAACCAAGCCAGAACTCTCCAAAACAAGATTAGACTCATGGCCAAACTGCAGACTAAACTGACTAAAATGTTTTCAGGGTGCATCAAGACTATTCAGCCAGGTAAAGCTCTAATCAGCTTGAATTGCCAGCTTCCGGACTTTTGTGTAGAAGCTTGAATGTTTTTGGCTTAAAGTCTTAGTTCACCATCTGATCCAAACTTTTCACTGAACAACAGAACAGGTCTTTGAAGGCATAGACAACTCTCTTTTCAACAAATAGCGACCCGTTTCTTAACAGTAAAAAGCTAGCATGAAAACATAATTACTTTAGCTAACTCCTAGCAACAAAGTGATTGAAACTCAGTCAGGATTGTTCTTTGCTTTGTAAATATGGTGATTAACATTTGTATAACATGTATTGGGTTTCTATGGCCTATTTGGGATATCATATTCAGAAGAAAAAAAGTGTTATCTATTTACAGGGAAGCCTCTAGCTTTGGACTTGAACATCTACAGAAGCTATTAATACTGGAACAATTTATTTTCAGCATCTTAACACTGACTGTTTGCCTTTTTATTTTTCAAGCACTCTTCATATTTTTTCTTGGTTTCATTTTTTTAAAATTTTCCTGTAGGAGTACCCCTCCCTAAGGTACCATTTGCAGACTTGAAAACTGTTAAGAAAATGAACACTGCATTCTGTGTATATATAGTAAAACATATAAACTGAGATGCATAGAAAACTTGGGCTTTTGTGAGCAGAGACTGTGCTTTATGTATATGATAGACTTTTTTTTTTTTTTTTTTTTTTAAAAGCAGAATAGCTATGACCTTTCAACTACAAGTCGTGCATCACAATTCCTTTCTTTTATTGCTTGACCTCTCTGTGATGGGAACAATGGATCAAAAACCAAAATGATCAGTTTGTTAAAATTCCCTGCAATATATAAATGCTCGCTCTCTACGTACTGTACTTAGCAGCATGAGATTTGTGGACAACAATACAGTGGTACATTGGCAATCCATCCCACTAGGGGTTATTAATATATGTTCATTCATCTGTTTTTATGAATTTTTTTATCTAGACAATAATTGTAAATAAAGAACTTACTCTGTCTGTTCATTTAATACTATGCAAAAGGTTATGCTTTCTATTGTTATTCTTATTCCTACAGTGTGATGCTGGAATGTTTGTGGTTTCAAAAAAAAAAAAAAAAAAAAAATAAAAAAAAAAAAAAAAAAAAGACAAAAGTAAGTAAAATATGTGATGTAAATTATTTTATAGTTTGAAACAAAATGATAAAGTTTTACTCTTGCTGCTTTCTGTCTAATAGATCTCTCTTGGCAGGAGCACAAGTGGAAAATTTAAAGAAATAAATTCACAAAGCAGCATGAACAATAACGGTCTGAACGTAACAGCTTTCTTTATTTTCACCTGAAGTCATTAGATCTAGCTCTGGATTCCCACTAGGCTATTTTAATGTAGAGGTGTATGTAAATCTGCTGGATTGGCAGTCAGAAGCCAGCTCCCCAGGCAGTGGTCCTGGCAGTGAGTCAGCACAGAGCGCTGTTAATTCTGACTGACTCTGGGTCAGTGTCACGCCTAGAAAGATTAACTCGGTCCATGCTGTGGTGTGCATGGTGGCGGGAATGGCTGGTGTGAATGCTGCAGTGAAGTCGGCTGAAGTTACTAGGTACAGAAGAAGTAAAAAAGGATGAAGCCCCTGTGAATTTGCATATGAAACAATTAGTTTAATCTCGGTCCTAAGACAGCAGCCATTGAAGTCTGTTTTCCTATCACTTCGGACCATATGACACATCCTTCCATTTATGTATGTTTTTTCATCTCTTTTTTCCTCTGTCATGATCAGAAAAATCATCACTGAATCTTTCTACAACTGGGGAATTCAGTCCAGGACTCATGCCCTCCCATTAAGACCTTAAAAATTGTGCATATGCAGTACCAGGGGAAAATGAGGGAATTCCCATTCTGGTGCTCAGACCCTTGGTCCAGAAGTCCCTTTTTTCTTCAGCTTAGACTAATGCAGTTGTTCCATAAACTGCAATACAGCCGGTGATCATACAGTGTTACTGCACTAGCAACAGCAAGGTTTAGCAGTTAGTAGAACAGACATACTGGGTTGAACTTCGCACACAAGGTGTGAGGTGAGTAACTATCATACAATCACATTTTTAAAGGTAAAATTCTTCAGTTACAGATTTTACTATCTTCGCTAGATTTCAAGCTTTTACTCACAAATTATTTGTGACAAGAAATACTTGATGGCGACCAAAACTACAATAGGAGAAAAGTTACCAAGAAATAAAAACATATGCAACACAGTAAATTCAATAAAAACCTTACAGAAAACAGTTAGACAGCAGATTTCTCAGATTAGTTGAGCTTTACAACTACTTTAGAATGAAACTCTTTTCTGCTTTGATTTTGTGAGCTGAGTCTAGGTAACAATCTGAAAATATTTTTCTTTTAATTCTTTGTCACTCATTTACCTCCTTCCTACACACATAACTTTATTTGCAGCCTTAGTCCAAGTGCTTTTGGCAGGACTCTTCATCCCTGCAAAAAATGATGCATGTGTTGAGGTGTTAGTAAGAAAGAGGACTTGGATTGTTCTGTGCGTTTTAAGCGCTGTCTATATGTTAAGCTTCTGTCAGCTTCAGAGATCTATTTTATGAGTTGTACTTTTTCAGGAGTGTGTGTGAAATACTTAGCACTGCATGGATGTGATTATACCTGTAAATTTAGAAAAATAACAGGGATGAAATTCCCCACTACACTGACTTCCTATTCTTTTCATCAAATTGAAGATTCGGAAAGGCACATAGTATTAGAAGTTACTAGTCCATCACAGCAAACTGATACCTGGATTCAAAATCAAGAATGAAATCAAAAGTATGCCAGGCTTTATTCTTGCTATGCTTCTTTTATCCATACTAAATATACTGTTAAGGAGACAATGAGGGTAGAAAAATCAGGTGCTGATCATGTATGCTGATGATATGCTAAATGCCACTATATGTATTTGTCATGAGATTTGTACGGATATGGAATGGGGGAAATGGTTCATAAATGGTGGATAAAGGAGAAGCAAAAGAAGAAAAGCAGGAAGAAAGTTCACTGTATCCTGAAATGAAATCTCAATTGCTTATTTTGACTTCATCTAGGCATTGAGTTTTAATGCAAGAAATACTCAAATGGTATTCTCTGTCTACCAGCCTTTTCCAACTGAAATCTGAATTCATGAGTAGGCTAAGGTTCCCAAAGTGAGGACTAGACCTCTAGCTGGAAAACACTGATATACAAACCTCTTACTCGGCTGTTACTGCAAACCTGTCCTCCTCTGACTGACCAGAAGGTTGACCAGAAGTTGATGATCTCCAGCATCCCCTTCCAACTTTTTTTTCATTCTATTATTCTATGATATGAAATTAAGTTATGCAACTTGTGCTATTGGTTTACTTTGGTGTAGTAGCGCACTACTCACACAAACTGAGAGAAGACTAGGGTTCAACACTTCAAACTTCCTGTTGGTATTGCAGTATTATTATAGTTGCTTTTGAGGAACCACAAAGAACTAAGCAGTAGACATTTCCTATTTATGTTTGTATTCCTGCAGCAGCAGTGTGAGACAGTGACATAATAAAACATAGTAATAAAAAGTACATAATAAAATTTATTCATGGTCCAGATCAGGACTGTTGTCCATATGTAAATTGCCCTGGGTTATAAACTACAAATCCGTATTCCTAATTTTATCAGTACATGAAATCCATTTAGGTAATGCTCAGTTTTGTTCAGCGACACATTGATATAAGAGGCACTGAACAAGACAAGTGCCCGATTTTGGTTATTTTACAAATAGGTATTAACAGGCAAATGATCTAACCTGGTGGAAACTGAAGAGAAGTATGACTAAATAACATTAAACAAGGCAGACGTGTTGAAAAACACAAATCAAAGGAAATATTTACATTTTTTTCCCATATATTCAAATAAAGTTTAATTATCTTTGTATCTGGGAGACTATGTTTGCCTGGTATTGACTGAAGTGTTAAAATTCCAAGTAAGGGAATGTACTTCACTTTGTCTGTGGTGTATTTGTTCACTTTTCAAGCAATTCATAAAGCACCTTCCTCTACCCCTTGTGTGTGTGTGTTTAAGAATCATGAGGAGTTGAGCTGGTCCAAGCAGTATTGGTGCATGGCCAGTGAAATTAGTTTTTACAAGGTAGTCTACGATCATAAAAATCAGAAAAGTTATCTAGCTTTCGTAAAAAACTTTACAGAACATTCATGACATCTGTTTAAGATGACCCAGTATGTATTTGTAAAGCCTCCTAGTGCTTTCAGCAGTGAGTTATTTCAAATTATTTCAGATTCAAGTTTTCTGCGAGGCATTTTAAATGATTTTTCTAAAAAGATTAAAGGAGAAAAGATAAACATTATTTGATGGCAAATTATATGAATAAGTTGCCACCAATCAAAGTGGCAACTAGGGAAGCTGTCTTATGCTTACTTTGCATGGGTATCATTAATTATAATTGTTAATTTGACCCATGTTTGGAATTCTTTTATAAAAGACAAAGATTACCGGAGTTCTAGAGTGTGGTTACCTGTCACTGTGTACATAAATAGTGCTTTATGTTTGGGAAGTAGCTGAATCAAGCAGAATGTTTTCTGTCACAAATGAACATGCCAAATGCTCAACGCTCTTATGTAGCTACCTATGATAAATTTGCTATTCCATCAGAAACCATCAGGCACTCTTATTGCCAACACTAGTGTTTCTGTAGTTACATGGTCTGGAACAGGCTGTTTATCTAATTTTTTTTTTTTCTATTATTATTGTTGCTGGATAATTTCAGTTGTTTTCTAGCCAGTTCCATGACTGGTCTCACCATATGTGATTTGGTGGAGGCTAATACTGGGGCAGAAAAGCAGCAGCAGCAACTGATCAGAGAATCAAGGCAGAATTATTTCAGATTAAAACGACTGTTCTACCAAGCCTACAACAAATGGAATTGAACAGACACCTCTAGAGCTCCCCATCCCCCAAAGACAGAGGATTCAGTGCTTGTGACTGTCTTTCTCTTTTACCACTAAGGTATCAAGTCTGTCATAGAGAATTACGGTTTCAGAGGCGAAAATGTGGTGTCACTAGCATCTGCTCAGTGGCTGCTGTAAAGCAAGATGATTTTCTGCCAGGCAGATGCTTACATCTGACAAAATACCATCACGCTTCACATTAACAGACATTCCTGCTGAAGTACAAGCACAGCTGGGAAGACTGACCTCTTTACAGAGATGTAGGATACGCAGTATTGGCTGTACCTAGGGAAGCCATTTCTGATTATGTATGTGCCTTTTTGGTGGAGTTTAATCTACCAGCAAGAATTAAAATAACTTCTAGTTGTGTTTATTATCCTATTCTCTCTGCTTGTGAGGGATTTGGATATTTTCAGTATTTTTCTATTGCATTTTCTGTGCTTTTACTTATGAGCTTGAGGTGATAAAAATGGTCTTAGTGAAATATGTCTTTTTACCCGTTTATTTGTATTAATGTCAATAGCCTCCTATATCCTATGACTCCCGGATATAAATCTAATTTTCACTGTATGAGAAAACACAGAGAAAAACTGCATTGCTTGAGTATGCTGTAGGGATGATTCAATTGCCTTTCTTTTCATTTTCATGTTTAAGGATAGAAGCACTACCTAATAATGACAAAGCATTTTGTCTCCTCAGTGTTCCTGCCCGTCTGATGCTGCCAGAACATTTTGTTCCTGAAAATTTGCAGGCTGATCTATGATATGCCACTGGCAGAGCATCCTTATGCTAATAGTGAGCTAGTACAGCAGAGTGGAAATCTGCCATCCCTCCGAACACCAGACACTAAAAGTAATAGCTGATACAACTCTTCTGATACAACTTTGAATTACCTCACATCCAAGGAATACTTTGCAGCCCGGTTATAGTCAATAAAATGTTTGCTCAAGGTTTACATTCCTTATCAATGGAGAACCCCAGCAATCTCACCATACTTGATTGTTCAGCTGTATACTTGAATCCTGAAATGGGAAGAAACTGTAGTTACAATTTGAGATTCCTTGTTCAGTATTTCATGTAATGCACGTGCTGCGTTGTACAAACCACGTCTTTATAAACATTCTTCAGGTTCCTCAGCAATCTGAGATTTGGCTGGGAACCCAGATAAGTAGTTAAACTTCATACTGAATAATCTCTCCTTATAAATGAGTTCCACAAAACATCATTCAGAAAATGTTATCAGACTAGAAATAAATTGAGCTTGGTTTTAGAAAATAACAATTATTTATCAAATTATCCTGGGCTTAGAAAATACCTACTTCTTGTTTT